AAGAAAGAAAGGGCAAAACTGAAGTGTATTCGTAACTAGCCAAGGGAGTTGCTGACCAAATGAATTTAGTCAAATGAACACTGAAGCTTGAGGCCTTGGATTTTATAAGATTATTGGAGGGAAATTTGTCATGGAGTTATTTTAGGGCAGAAGTTAATTAGCAAGGCCCTGGTTAGACTCTGTATCCAACAAGAATCTGATGAATTTTATACACAGAGGTGAGGCTCAGCTGTCCAGCTTTCAAAGCAGCTTTCTTTTTTCTAGAATATGAGTCTGAGCATTGCTGCTACTGCAAAAGCTTCTCTGTTTAGCAAGTTGGGATTTTTGTCATTTTTCAGTTATCAATAATTTTGTTGACAAAAGTAAACTGAGTTATCATTCTAGAAGGGTTTTATGTTTGCTTCTGTCAGATGACTCAGTGGTTTCATCTGCCAGGACCTAACTTGGAAAAAGTATAAGGGTGAATGAACCCCATGTCACATAAGGATTCAGATTCTCAGGGGAGAGTCCTCCATTCACTGACCTCAACCTTCCATATTAAGGTAGGCAGACTGTCTTGCCTGTGGTCAGTTTACTTTTTAGGCCACCCTTTCACTAATGCTGCTGTCCTTAAGGGTTCTGACTTCATGAGGATTCTTTTTCTTTTTCTTTTTTTTTCCTGTAGTTGTAGATGGATAGCATGCCTTTAATTTGTTTATTTATTTTTATGTGATGCTGAGGCTCGAACCCAGTGCCTCACATGTGTGAAGCAAGCACTCTGCCACTGAGCTACAGTCCCAGCCCTATGAGGGGTCTATAGTTCCAAATGACTACCTCTTAAGATCATAAGAGTTCACCACTTGTCCATGTTGTAGGATAAATTAAAACTTAGGTTACTAGATCGTTAAAACTAGAAATCCCCTTCCTTACCCCAGACCAAAACAGCTTCAGTACACTCTCCCAGTTCTAGATTTAATTCTCTCTTTTTTCTGGATCCTTACTTTATGGCAAGAAAAGCCTTCCTTTGAGAGTGAGCAGGAGAAGGACTGGGCCTGAGAGGCTTGAGGCATGGGACAGGGGACAGGGAAGGTGTCACTGCCAGCTATACCCCTAAAGGGAAAACAAAAACAAAAAAACCAAAAAGCCTTGCTTTTGAGAGTGTTGACTTTAAGTATTTGTTGGAAAGTATCAGTGCGTTTCAGAACTCCACAGGTATCATTCATGTAAAACAGAGAGTGTAAGTGAATGGTCTCCCCTGAAGTCAGAGCATCGCCTTCTCTAGCTCTCTGGCCATTCTTCCTAAACTATAAGTTAAAATGCAAAGCCTGGAAATAAAAATGTACTTATGGCATAAGTACATAAATTCCTTACTGATTTGAATAGTTTAAATCAGTAAGGAATTTATCCACTCTCCCAGATCTAAGATGTATGGTTATTATAATGTCCAAGAACAAATTGGTACTAGTTTGACAGCTCCTTATGTAATAAAATATAAGCCTTTATCCAGGTGCATTGGCACAAACCTGTAATCCCAGTGAAGTGGGAGGATGAGGAAGGAAGATCATAAATTCAAGACCCTGTTTCAAAGTACACAATTCTTAAAAGGGCTGGGATGTGGCTCAGTGATAGAGGATCCCTGGGTTCAATCCCCAGTCTCAACAAAAAAATAATTTATTTTATAAACACACACTTTTATTATCTGTAAACATATTTTTAAATTTCCAGGAAAAGTAGAAAGTGATATCCCTGCTTTCTGCTTGTGTTTCATTGGTGAAAACCATGGCAGATAGAATGCTAGAGAACCCACAAAAGTAAATGTCAAATCAAGACTAAATAAAGCAAGTCCCAGCTGTCTTTCTCCAAGGCTTATAGCTACTACACGTCAGTGCTATCAGAAAATTCTCTATATGAAGGTGAAATTTATATTAAAGGATTTTATTACTTATAAGAAATTTGGCACTTCTCAAAGAGAAGATTTTCTTAGAAAAGTATACCTATGGGAATTATGGCTTTGTGTGTCTGGCAAAGTGCTGATGTATATCATGGCCTACAGGTGACAAGACTGTCTACAGAGATGAACTGTGGAATGATGTCTAGATGTGGCCTCTGTTTCTCAAATCTTTGGGCACTTGGTATAATAGAATTATTTAAGGG